TTATACAGTGAACGTGTAGGCTAAACTTAAGTTTATCGTTTTATTTTTAACTTGTTACAAAACGTACATTTTATACGTTCGTCTTTTATTGTCTAGCGCAGCTGCGCAGACTTTAACTTTGGATTGAATTTTGTCACATCTACACATGATAAATCCTCAATTTGTATTTTTCTAATGTTTCTTTCTTGTATTTCCACCTCACCCTAACAAAAATTAAGCTTCTAATTAATAAAACACGAATGTTCTAACTTACAAATTAATGCATTATCCATAATTCCAATATGCTAAACAGAAAGATGGTTAACTATTTCTTTTAACACCGTTGGAAAGGTCTTTTTTATTATATGCCGTGATCACACATGCACATTTAGTATTTATTTTGTTTTTCCTGGATTAAAAGCAGTTGTTTGCGAAAAACATTTATTCAGTGATGTGACGATTAGTAGGTATTTGCAACACAATGAAGTTATCAAGTATTTACTGTAATAAAGTATACATTTGACAATACATAATACAAGGTTCATTACTTCACAATTATGGCTTCAATAATCAATTACATTGATAGGTTTATGATCGTCATCTTTGCTTGGACAAAAAAAATGGGAATAGAGAAAGAGATCTTGATTTTATTGACAAATTAAATCAGAGTCATGATTCTTATTTTTGTTTATAATTATCGTTCGTTTGTTTTTTAGAGGAACGCTACGTTGGGCTATCTTCTCTGTCCACAGCGGAGAATCTAACCCCGGATTTTAGTAAACTTACGGCTGTCCCACCGTGGAACTATTACTTAGTGATAAAGTTTATTATCCATTAGTGTTCTTTTATTTTTGATAAATAAAATTATAGTCATTTCACCAGTGCGCTGCACACAAGTGAATTTTATTGATGTAATAGAAGCAATACATTTATTTCAAATCAACACATTACGAACCACAGAAATATACAGCTTATAGATGGGTCCTCTCAGTTACATGGTCCAGTATTTACAATACAAAATATCAACCATTGTTCTAACTAGCTTAAAACGTATTTAATTCAATTTATTTGCTTGATATGCAGATAACTCCACCTACTCCATTATGTTATGATTTTGCACACGTGTATGCACATTCATTTCGATTTTAACTCTTTACGTTTAAAAATGTACACATTTAACTCACAGCTGTAGCGCAGTTCAATACTTAGGCACGATGTATTCTTGTAGCTAACTTAAATTATATTACAGTATTATACCGTTTAACACATTTAGTGTGGTCATAAGAAACTTGAGAACTATTTTAGCTTTACATATGAAAAGGTTACTGTTTACAATTGAACGATATCATTGATATGTCTTCGCAAGAGTTCACCACTTAAGTATGTGGACAACACGAAGATGAAATGTTATAGCCACTCGCACATATCTCCACAAGTAAGGCTGCGTAACAAACACAAGTTTTCATTAACAGTAATACAGAACTTGCAGTGTTCAGCATTTCACTTGGTAATATAGCTCTAATAACGACTGAAACTGGCCTTTACCACCACCATCATCACCCAAAAAAATAGAATGAAACAAAAGCTTGATATTTTTACTCTGCTAACTCTTCTGTTATTAATCTGGACACATACACTGATCTCCGCAATGTGTCACACAGCCCAAATTACACCTTCACTTGGTCTGTACATGGGCGTCTGCAAGGTGGGGGTGGGGACAAGAGGGCACTTGCTCTCTAACCAAAATGTAAAGGATAACATAAAAGGAAAAAGTGTTTCCCTAGTTATAAGTTTGGTATTATTTCGTCATCTTCCTTCACCCCCTCACACTATAATATATCATGCGGATGCCTGTGCCCTCTAGGTTTGGTTTTCTATTAATTATTTTTGTATTTTATTTTTTGGTTAACATCTTTTTAATAATTCTTCATGTTTCTATACTCTATATTAGACGCCTTTGAAATTACCACTACTTTAGTAATGTTTTTATTGTAAACAGTCAACATGACAGCTTAGTTTATTAACTGTTTCTCAATTTATGTAAAAAATTAA